CCCCGCAGCTCCTGGCCCCGGCTGGCCTGAGGGGGGGGGTGGGGGATGTCAGCCCGTGGCTTTAGTGCCTGGGATTAAAGCAGTGTTGACGGACAATCCAGTCTCCCGGTGCCTCTCCTCCGGCGAGTCTGTTAAGGGAGGCGCTTCCCCCCTCTGTGACCCGTGAAATAATCTATAGAATTGTTGACTTTCAGCCCCGAGCTCCCTGTCAAGCACTCCCTGGTGCAACGCACGTGGGACCCACACGTCCACTCCCGGCGTTTGCAGTCCTGGGTGAAAGCAGTGTTGACGGACAATCCAGTCTCCCGGTGCCTCTCCTCCGGCGAGTCTGTTAAGGGAGGCGCTTCCCCCCTCTGTGACCCGTGAAATAATCTATAGAATTGTTGACTTTCAGCCCCGAGCTCCCTGTCAAGCACTCCCTGGTGCAACGCACGTGGGACCCACACGTCCACTCCCGGCGTTTGCAGTCCTGGGTGGGAGTAGAGCTTATTTCTAGCCCTTAAAAAGAAAGGGGTGGGAGCCGGCTGACCTCGGGGTCCGCCGCAAGAAAGGCAACTGCATTATTTATCTTACATGGAAGGGGGCCAGGAGGGGACATTTTGCCTGCGAGAAGCCCCTACACCTCACTTGTGCACGCCAGGGGGGCGGAGATCACAATAAGAAATCACCATGTAAATTGTCAATCCCTAGCTACGCGCAAACCCCTCCAGTGAGTATGGAAGAGCCGCCAATACTCTTTTGCCCTCCAGAATAGCTAGCGATCTCCCCCTGACCAGCTCGGAGACAGCCCCCCGGAATGGGCAGGGGGAGCCTTTTTTGGTGCGGCCGCCCTAAACTCAGTGGGGCTGCTCTACTGGCCTGTGGGGAGAGGGTCAGAGCTGTGCTGGGAAGCTCCGGGGAAGCCTCTCCCTGTGTCCTGTGCTGTGCGCACATCGCAGCTGGAACGTAGGGTGTCTGATTTGTGGCAATGTTAGTGCACATCCTCGCCGGCTACCGCGACGTGCTGCGGGGACAGGAGACCTGAGCGTGGCTCTCTCGCCTCACGCTTCACCCGCCTCCTTTTTAGGCTGTCGCTCGGGGTGGGTGCCCAACACACGCTGGCTACAGCTCATTAAACCCGGAAGCCCCCTAGCCAAGAAACCTTGCAGCAGTTCTGGACTAGTTGGGGATCCCGCCTGTTCCCAATGGCTTCGCTGCGACCAATCAGCTTTTCATTCTGGCCCAACCCCTCGGAATCGCTTCATTTCCCTTCAGGAGTGACACCGGTTGCGGAAGGGTTTTACGGGTTGTGAGCGCGGGGGGAGGGAGGATTAGGAAGGGAAAGGCACCCAAGTGGAAATGGTCAGGGCAGAATTTGAATCCCTTTCCCCGTCCTGACTCCCTTCTGCAGCGATCGGAAAACCTCTGACTCTTCGTAGTTTGATGCCGGGTGCGCAGTATGGGCAGGAGGCGGAAAGATGCTGAGCAAAGCGCAAATGTAAAGTCACCGCTGCTAGATTAGGCTTCGCAACCCGGCAGTGGGACACGCGCAAAGTGTGAGCGGTTGTGGCGCTGGAAATTTGCGCGCACATCCAGGTGGTGGGAGAGGTTGGGGCGCTGGACATTTGCGCGCGCATCCAGGTGGTGGGAGAGGTTGGGGCGCTGGACATTTGCGCGCGCATCCAGGTGGTGGGAGAGGTTGGGGCGCTGGACATTTGCGCGCGCATCCAGGTGGTGGGAGAGGTTGGGGCGCTGGACATTTGCGCGCGCATCCAGGTGGTGGGAGAGGTTGGGGCGCTGGACATTTGCGCGCGCATCCAGGTGGTGGGAGAGGTTGGGGCGCTGGACATTTGCGCGCGCATCCAGGTGGTGGGAGAGGTTGGGGCGCTGGACATTTGCGCGCGCATCCAGGTGGTGGGAGAGGTTGGGGCGCTGGACATTTGCGCGCGCATCCAGGTGGTGGGAGAGGTTGGGGCGCTGGACATTTGCGCGCGCATCCAGGTGGTGGGAGAGGTTGGGGCGCTGGACATTTGCGCGCGCATCCAGGTGGTGGGAGAGGTTGGGGCGCTGGACATTTGCGCGCGCATCCAGGTGGTGGGAGAGGTTGGGGCGCTGGACATTTGCGCGCGCATCCAGGTGGTGGGAGAGGTTGGGGCGCTGGACATTTGCGCGCGCATCCAGGTGGTGGGAGAGGTTGGGGCGCTGGACATTTGCGCGCGCATCCAGGTGGTGGGAGAGGTTGGGGCGCTGGACATTTGCGCGCGCATCCAGGTGGTGGGAGAGGTTGGGGCGCTGGACATTTGCGCGCGCATCCAGGTGGTGGGAGAGGTTGGGGCGCTGGACATTTGCGCGCGCATCCAGGTGGTGGGAGAGGTTGGGGCGCTGGACATTTGCGCGCGCATCCAGGTGGTGGGAGAGGTTGGGGCGCTGGACATTTGCGCGCGCATCCAGGTGGTGGGAGAGGTTGGGGCGCTGGACATTTGCGCGCGCATCCAGGTGGTGGGAGAGGTTGGGGCGCTGGACATTTGCGCGCGCATCCAGGTGGTGGGAGAGGTTGGGGCGCTGGACATTTGCGCGCGCATCCAGGTGGTGGGAGAGGTTGGGGCGCTGGACATTTGCGCGCGCATCCAGGTGGTGGGAGAGGTTGGGGCGCTGGACATTTGCGCGCGCATCCAGGTGGTGGGAGAGGTTGGGGCGCTGGACATTTGCGCGCGCATCCAGGTGGTGGGAGAGGTTGGGGCGCTGGACATTTGCGCGCGCATCCAGGTGTTCGGTTTTACTAGACACACCAGCACCAATGGGAGTGGCAGGCAGCCGGCTGCAATCAGATCAGTGCAATAGCAGCTCCTGGCTCTAGCGTGAGACCGCCCGGAGCTCCCAAACACTCGCATTTCTGGAGCCATTTTCACACACACACACCCCATTGCCGCTGCTTGAAGGCGGGGACAGATAAGCTCGCATCCCGCTCCCGGAGCACCGCGTGGGAGCCTTAGTGTAAATGCCTCTCCTCCCAGGCCCCCAAACCCCAGCCCTCCCCTGCTGGCTGTGACAAGCTAGAACCCGGGGGCAGGGCGCGTGTCCAGCCAGGTCCAC